TGAACGTCACTTGTCCCTCTAAGATGTTGGGGTGTCGCCCACATGGGAGCACATAGCTAGTTAGCACGCCGGAGTCCCATTTGTTATCGGAATTAACCAGAAAAATCGCTCTGCCAGCTCAGAGCAGCCATGGACCACGACCCACAGAGTCGAGAAAGAGCCATCGATCTGCCGATCCTTCAGTGCATCTCTTCGTGTAACACAGTTCATGTCCGTCAGTTAACAACATCATGATACATACTGATATGTGGAAATGTTCTTATAGCCTCATTAATGGAGGCAGTTCGTCATATTTTCTGTGAGCAGAATAAACTCTTTAACAATGAATAAAATCAGCTGTACTCAGTTATCTAGAATTCAGTCAGTCAAAGTCTAGAAATGTTCACCTGACTGTTTTGTCTGTGAGTCCTGATCTCCCCGACTTCTTCTCACTCAGCTCTGTGCAGATACTGATCACCGCTGCGTCGGACACATCAGTCAGTCTGCCTCCAAATCCAAATTGAATCTCCCAGCAGCCAGATATAATATCTGTTCTCCTCGTGCTCAGTTTCACCATTACAGACACACTCAAGGACCATTTGCTGTTATCACTGGCCTCTTTTATTAAAACGCTGCACCAGACCTCTTCTCTGTTGACTGACAGTTATATTGTGATGGTAACAGGTGGAAAAGTTGGTTTGTGGTACGCTCCTGAATACTGCACAGCAGCATGTTTCCTCTGCAGCCCTGCAGTTATCTGAACTGCTGTCTGATCAAGGTGCTGCTCTGAGCTTGATTATACTGACAGCTTTTATTAGGGCCCGGGCACCAGGGGCAGTGCAGAGGCCTCGCCGGGATACAAGGAAATATTATTAGTTCACAAAATGGTCGCATTTTTACGGGATAAAGGTTTTAGCATGCTCCTTCCACCACCATCAAACCTCCAAAGGATCCTCCTTGGGTGTCTTGAACTCCATGTAGGCTGCCACCTCATCCTCGGGCTGCAAAGTGTCATGGCTGGAGTCCTCCACGTCAGTGACCAATGTGACCGCGGGGTCAAAGGTTACACTGGTGTCACTGACTTTCAAAATAAAAGCAACTGCAGCTTGATAACAGTGATTTAGATGTTGGAATATTACACATATACTGCAAAGCTTTTTACTATATTCATGCAGTGTCCGATGCACAGCCACGTGTACATCGGCATCTTGTCCGAGGCCCATTCATCACGGCTTGCAGAGTTTATCATGTTTGTTCTGTCTTCACAAATCATAAACCAGCAGGAATGACTGACTTTCATGTTGGCTTCATTATTCCGCCCCAGACGTTGCCCTTTAGGCAGCTGCAGCACTCATCAAAAAGGAAGCAAATGCAGTTATAGGAAGGAGAAACGTCAAGCGGACAAAGCTTGATCCACTCTAGCCTCCTGAGACCCTGCGTCCTTGTATGAGGACATCACATTTTGGGTTTCCTGCACCTTCACTCTGCTTAACTCAGACCTGCTGTCCTCATTCATGGACACTTTTTTGTGCCATCTAGTGGCAGTAAGAGCACAATACACAAATCCATGTAAAAACAAGATGGCAGCCATCTCTGCCAAGTCAGTCTGCAGCCGATCCTGATACAAAAGTGGACAAAAACTGATCACATTCTATGGTTGAAACTTGTTTATTTATGATTAATAAAGTTTGTAGTTTAGCAACAGTAACAAAATACGACTCGTCTGAAGACACTGGGATTTTATTATCGTTGACAATGATTAGTTTTTTATACTTGTCAGGTCGTACTGATCCCAAATAGCTCGGAGAAATTAAAAATGCATTCCAGACAAAAGCTCTGCTCTCAGGAGGACAGAGTGAGTTGGACTGTTTCCTGTTGGACAGGAAGGTGTCAGCAGCTAAAGTATGGACCTTTTCATTATTCTAAATGTAGCCTCCCTACAACAGTACTGTCTCTCCGTGTGCGTGCATGCAGTGTAGGGAAGAGGAGCCAAGTTTGAATGTTGTAGGGGTGACCTCCGACTCACAGCGTGCAAACTTTGCTGCAGTCATCTATCTCCCTCCTTCTCTATCTGCCCCTCTCCCTGTCACTCTCCAGCTGCGCTGTCATAAAGGCCATATAAGCCCTAAAAAATGTCTTTACAAAAAAAGTCTTTACTGTTGTCATGACCTGCGAACATACATCACCACAGATATCTTCTGACACTCCAGACAAAGCCACAGAAACACTACATCCAGGCTGTGACTTCACTCCGTACCACAGTGAACAGTCTCACTGACACAAAGAGCCCATACAATAGACAGCCGAGCCGAGGCCTCCTTTACGAGGCTCAAATCCGTCCACAGGCTCCATCTATCACCCGGCACAGAGATAATCTGCTCTTTAGTGAAGGCACTTTGTTGGGATGGTGGATGACTTTTATAATGATGTCTGACTTCTACTGGGAGACCTTTCTGGAGTCCTTCCCACCATCACACGCTGACAGTGTCAGGTTTGATCCCAGCAAGAGACACGTGTCCTTGGGCGAGACATAGACACCTCCTGCCCGTTCTTTCAGACGTCTCTGTGTGTGACTGCAGCTGAATGTCTCCACAGGAAGTGGACATGAGACGCAAATACGTGCAAACTAAAAATGTCCATCCAGTTCTATACACAGTATGGACGTTTTTATTGGACTTTATTATTTGTAACCGACACAAGATGATCGACAAATGTGTAGCATGACTCACAAACACGTCTTTATATATATATGTGTGTGTGTGTCTGTGTGTTGTGTGAAGTCACATCCACAAAGACACAGCATGATTTGCAGATACACATAACCTACTCTGTAAACTTTAATTTCACATAAACATGTGACAGGTTTTACAAATGTAAAGAGTTTAACCACAGCAGATACACGTGGAGTATTTCCTCATCAGCGGTGACACAGATGGAAGTCTGCACCTGGTTTATCGTCCACAGAACGAGGCTGCACGCCCACATTTTCTCCACAGTGAAAGTTGTGGATGGTCCCAACAGAAGCGTTCCTTAGCGTCCCCATGTTTGGTCCCCCCTCTGTTGGGGTACTTAGCACACAGATCTGGTTCTAAAAGGTGGAGCTTTTAACTCTGCAGTCTGATTGGTCAGTAGAGGACGCTCACTCTGGTTTTATGTAACCTCTGTTCATACATCAGTAAACTACAACTATAAAATGAAAGAGAAAAAAATAACTTCATTCACTGGGCCGACTGCCGGCAACTTTTAAGGTGGATAACTTGTAATGTTACTCAATGCATGAGTTGATGACGTGAATCCATCAGCACACCTTAAATTTCACTGTGACAACTTTGACCATCACTTTAGTTTTTATATGACACACACTTTTAGTAATGACTTTAAAAATATAGATGAATTTGGAGCGGATTATGTGAAGGTCATATATTCTAATCCTCACTTCCTGTGGGCTACAGCAACACTAAACCCCTGAGCTTGCCTGAGAAGGACTAAATGCACAAAGCTGCTATTTTTAAATATCCCATGGAGAGAGACTCTCACTGCAGCCTGTTCTATTTTGTTGTGAAAATGTGGGCGTGCAGCCTCGTTCTGTGGACGATAAACCAGGTGCAGACTTCCATCTGTGTCACCGCTGATGAGGAAATACAGCGAGTGCTGGACGGAGCAGTGAGTGACAACAACCCCGCCCACATTTAAGAGGACTGTCTGAACACACCGAGGGTCTAGGTACCATGTCTGAAGGCTTACTGCTGGTTCCACAGGTGCTGGACTTAAAGGGTTTGGTGGAGACGGGGGTTTAGAGTCTGAGAAGTAAAACACTCAGGACGCCACAGGTTATTCCACACTACTGAAGCTGCTCCTCTTTTTGGAACCTTCGCAGAGTCACTAATAATTTCACTTTCAGTCATGCTTGCTGTTGCCGTGGGTAACAGTAGGACGTCAATATGTCACCAAGTTAAAATATGGCGAGTATCAGGATATGAATTTGTCATAGGGTTAGGATCAGGATCCTCCTGGTCCAGCTGGTAGGAGGCCCCGGGGCAGACCCAGAACACACTGGAGGGATTACAGATCTCATCTGGTCTGGGAACACCTCGGGGTCCTCCAGGAGGAGCTGGGAGGTGTTGCTGAGGAGATGGACGTCTGGGTGCTTTGTTCAGCCTGCTGCACCCGAGACCTGACCCCGGATGAGCAGATGAAATAGATGAAATAGATGGATGGATATCATACTCTACATTATAGCGGTATTATTGGGAACGAGATGATACGGCACGCCTGTAAAGACGGGTGATGGACTGGCTCTGGTACTGAGCTTTACGTGTAGAAACTGGACCTGAGCAGGACTCTGATCTGGTCTCTGTCAGAACTGATCGAATGTAAACAACAACCATCCTCTGTGTCAGAAACTTGTCAATAAACACAGAGCTGTAAACAGACTGAAGCTCATCATCAGGTCACTGACTGACAGTCTGCAGACTGTGACGATGATGATGATGATGAACACCAGTCTTCATCTCAATCAGTGAATCATGAGGTCACTCTGAGTCCCAGTTGAGCTGCCAGGTAGTGATGTACCGCCCTGACCACATGATACCTGCTGCACGAGCTGCAGACCTCCAGCCTGAGAAACGGACCACACTGCATCATCATCATCATCATCATCATCATCATCACTGTGAAGAGAGCAACACCGTCTACACCTACTGTACCGCTCAGCATCACACACACATTCACACACCCGCGTCGGAGTTCCTGCGCGCGGGTGACGAGTGCGCACGTGCAAGCGCAGAATTATGCCCACGAGCGTTAATGCTCCAGGGGCTCCCTCTGCATCCGGTGTGTGATGAGAACATGAATTAACAGCGTTATGTGAGTGTGAGAACATGGCAGCCGGAGAGCAGCTGAGAGCAGCCCGCTGTCATGTCACTGTGGAAACTACAGCACCCAAAGTTCAACACGTCCCTCAGTAATCACACACACACACACACTGTATCACACACACACTGTATCACACACATACTCACACGGACTGAGCGGCAGCTGTGTTAGCAGGTTCCCACCGACGGGCTCTGCTGGCCGGGCAGAGGAGGACGGAGCGGCGGTGTCTGCAGCGGAGGGAGGACAAGTGTTTCCTGGAGACAGTTAGTCCAGAGATCAGCTGAGCTGAGCTCATCACGCGCGTCTCATTAAATCCTGTCAGCTCAGTGCTGCGCGTGGAGCTGCTTCCAAAAGATGCGCGGCACACACACACTTTAAACACACACACACTCACAGACACGGCAACGGCGTTTCACGGTGTGAGCGCCCTCCCTCTTCCACCAGTGACGTCATTGAGAGAGGCAGCCTGAGATGCTGCATTCACGTCCTATGGGAAAAAAACTGCAGGTAGGACTTCACATTCATATAATAATAATAATAATACTATTAATAAGCTTTATTCATTTGTTTAACTGTGTTTATTTACAGTTACAAAGTGATGTTTAGTCAAACTGAACACATGTAACACAAATAACACGTCATTAAACGTCATCTAGTAAAATATAAAGTAACGAAGGCCAACAGTGAAGATGAGACATAACATCAATCAGAGAGCAATAAGACAGACAGATATGATTTCTGATAGACTTTAGGAGAGACTTAAACGAAGCCTCAGACTCAGACAGTCTTATATCCTCAGGCAGGTTGATCCAGAGCCTCGGGGCCCCTTGGCCTTCAGTCTGGACTCTGGGACAAGCAGAGGACCTGTGCCCGAGGATCTCAAACTACTAAGAGGTTCATAGGGACTAACAGGTCTGTAATGTGATCTGGAGCCTTAAAGGTCCTGACACACCAAGATGACGGTCGGCTGTCGACCAAAGTCGGGTCGTTGGTGAGCGTCTGTCGCCCTAGTTTTTGCAGTGTGTCCCGCACTGTCGGCACTTCGGCGTCGGCGGCTTTTCGGCCGATTGAGCATGTTGAATCGGCGGCGGAGCTTGTCGGTGAGAGAGATCACTCTGATTGGCTGTTCAGGTTTTATTTCCTCGCCCCTGTAGCGAGTGAATCTGCCTGTAGTGAAACCGGGGCTAACCGGTGCTTCCTCCTCAGGCTCCACTTCACTCAGCTGCCCCACAGACCCGCTGCTTCTTCACACTTTAACCTGAATAACAAACCGGAGCTAGCTGGGAGCGGCTAGCGTAGCGTTAGCCGCAGCATGACCGGAGGGAAGCACAGCCAGTTAGCCTCCGCTAGTCTCTGAGCTAGCCCCGGCTCTCCGTTTGGATCCAACCGGAGCACCGAGCCCTGGTTTGTTATTCAGGTTAAAGTGGGAAGAAGCAGCGGGTTTATCGGGCAGCTGAGTGAAGTGGAGCCTGTGGAGGAAACACCGGGACCGTCTGGATGTAATAGTCCGTGGAGGTGCTGCGGTGCTCGGCTGCACAGATAGGAAACCCCTCGGCTGACAGGATGTACCACTCTCTCACTCCGCTCTCTCTCACGCAGGCGCAGAACGTACGTGCTACTTGGCCGTCGGATGTAGTCCGTGTAGTGTGTTCAAATGCAACTGACACAGGGCGACGTGAGGCGACGTAGACGACGCAACAGTTGGCTTTCGTCACCGCTAGTTCTTTGATGTCGGTTTGGTGCATCTGCACCTTTAGACACACAGGCACACACACATCCTCACTGTGACCTCATCACATGTCCATGTTTGGTCATGGACTTTCCACGTCCACATATGACGTCCAAGGTACCCTGGGTGTGTTGGTTGTTTTCACAGGAAATGTACAGTTTGCATACAGTCTCTTTCAAAATAAAAGCACTACATCGGTACAACACCATGAACTGACACTTTTTTCCTTCAACAACAAAAAAGAACAGGGTTTGGCTTTACAATCAAACAGGACGCCAACACCTCTCTCTCGGGTGACAGTCGGTGGTTGTTGGACCCCTCCACCACCCCTCTCACCTGCCCCAGTTGGACTTCAGCCACCTTAACTTTCGTCCTTGTCCCCTTGACGCTGCCAGGCTATAATGTGTATCATGCCGACGTTAAAGGACGCCTTTTTTCGTTTGTTTCTGATGCTGGAAGTCACTGCCCAAAGCGCCAGATGTCAATGACTTCGGAGTGAGACTGAGCTCAAAAAATAGAAAAAAAAACAGCATGGAAATTCTAAAAAAAATATCGTATAAGTTGCTGGAATTGAAATAAAAACAAAGTTAAAATAAATAAACTTCCATCTCTGTCAATGTTCAATGTTTGATAGTCCACCATGAACATTTTCGGCACATCTCTTCTCGTCAACAAACATAAAACACAGATTTCATCTTTTTATCATCAAGATCTATTTTTAGCTCGTCATCGTCTCTTCGTCATAATGGAGAAAAGGTCGTTGACGAAAAATGTTCATCGTAGTTTTCGTCAACGACATTAACACTGATGTACAATTACGTTCACCTCTCAGCCCACCTCTCATCTCCCCGCTGACACGTATACGTCTTCGTCTGCTCTCGTCAGTTCAATAAGGACAGAGCGTCCTGATGGGACGGCATCGAGCAGGTTCACATACCAGTGTGGAGAGGTTCAGTTCAACCTGCTGCACTGTATCAAAGCGTAGCCATGATGGTGCCAAAGTTAAGTTTGTCCAGTGGCGTGAGAGGGAATAAATAAATGATAGAACAGCTCAGAGCTGCTTCCACATCAGATGGTTAAATGAAATCCCTCCAGTATGTTCTGGGTCTGCTCCAAGGTCCAACTCTAGCTGGATGTGCCAAGAATACCTGCACAGAGACGTGCATCTGATCACATCCCTGAGCCACTTCAATGCCGGAGGAGCAGCAGTTCTGCTTTGCAGCGTCTCACCTCACCTCACCTCACCTCACCTCACCTCACCTCACCTCGGGGGCTGAGCCTGAGCACCCTGAGACAGACTCATTTTGGCTTCTTGAATTCTGATCTCACTCTTTTGGTCACTACCCAGAACTCATGATCACAGGTGACAGCTGAAAAGTAGACTGACCGGCACATTGAGAGCTTTGCCTTCGAACTCAGTCCACTATGACGCCTGCATCACTGTGTAGGACACAGATACATGAACATGAAACATCCACGTGTCCATCCACCTTTAATCTTCAACTGAGTCCTCAGCTCGGTTTTAATGAAACATTAGACCTTGTTATTTGGTCGCTGCATATCGTGAAACAAACACTGCCATCTACTGGTCACCTGTCCCTGTCATGTTCGATAGTAACTTATGTTCTGAGCAACATGTCACTGAGCTCTTCCAATCATGTTTTTACCACCTCAGAAATATCGATAAAATAAGATCTATTTAAACTTTTAGAGATACAGAATCTGTTGTACCTGCTCTTATGTCCTCGCACCTTGATTATTGCAGCAGCCTTTATTCCTGTCTTAATAAATAAACTTTGCAACGACTTCAGATTGTTCAGAACTCAACCACCAAAATCAAGACGTCTGACCACATCACATCGATTTCAGCCTCTTCACATCGGCTCCCTGTTTGTTCTAGTGTTGACTTTAAACTCTTATTACTGTAAAGGTGCGGACACACCAATCCAACATCAAAGAACTAGCGGTGATGAAAGCCAACTGTTGCGTCGTCTACGTCGCCTCACGTCGCCCTGTTTCAGTTGCATTTGAACACACTACACGGACTACATCCGACGGCCAAGTAGCACGTACGTTCTGCGCCTGCGTGAGAGAGAGCGGAGTGAGAGAGTGGTACATCCTGTCAGCCGAGGGGTTTCCTATCTGTGCAGCCGAGCACCGCAGCACCTCCACGGACTATTACATCCAGACGGTCCCGGTGTTTCCTCCGCAGGCTCCACTTCACTCAGCTGCCCGATAAACCCGCTGCTTCTTCCCACTTTAACCTGAATAACAAACCAGGGCTCGGTGCTCCGGTTGGATCCAAACGGAGAGCCGGGGCTAGCTCAGAGACTAGCGGAGGCTAACTGGCTGTGCTTCCCTCCGGTCATGCTGCGGCTAACGCTCCGCTAGCCGCTCCCAGCTAGCTCCAGTTTGTTATTCAGGTTAAAGTGTGAAGAAGCAGCGGGTCTGTGGGGCAGCTGAGTGAAGTGGAGCCTGAGGAGGAAGCACCGGTTAGCCCCGGTTTCACTACAGGCAGATTCACTCGCTACAGGGGCGAGGAAATAAAACCTGAACAGCCAATCAGAGTGATCTCTCTCACTGACAAGCTCTGCCGCCGATTCAACATGCTCAAATGGCTGAAAAGCTGCCAACACCAAAGTGCTGATGGTGCGGGACACACCGCAAAAACTAGGCCGACAGACTCACTGACGGCCCGACTTTGGTCGACGGCCGACCGTCGGCTTGGTGTGTCAGGGCCTTTACAGGCAAATGACAATAAATTAAAATAAACCAAACACTCTCCAGGTTAAAGTATTCATTTTGAAATAATACAAAAGATATAAATTAGGAAAAAGGTATAGGTTGGGGACCTCTGGTGTCAGACCCAGTGTTGCTATCCTTGAATCTTTTGTGAGGTTTTGGTAAAATATTTTCTCAAGTGCCTCAAAAATCTCTTCCCAGTGGCTCCAAAGAAAATTTCCTTGTTGGGATTAATGAAGAGCTAACATAACTGTTTTTTGCCTCTTGAAAAAAAAAGTATCGCAGGTCTGTTTAATTACAAATTCAACTGGGCCGGATTTTAAGACCAGAAAATGTCGATGGCTGAGACATTTTCAGCAGCGAGCTATTGAACATTTGTTTGTAGCTTCTGGTGATGAAAATGACTGTTGTAAAAGTAGCAAAGTTTTTCGTGTCACATTTAAAATTTAAAAAAAAGTTTTTAGTCAGATATCTGAGCGAGGAGCATCACATGCTGATACTGTCAACACACAGAAGCAAAACAAGTGGCATTAACAGTAACTAATAACACACTCTATCTCTCTCCCAACATCTCCCCATCTGTTGCTGCACGTTTGTTGCTTCTGACGGCTGACTTCAGACGCACATGAGACCCGCATCACTCTTTGGCCTTTCTGGAGGTGCAACTCTGCCTTCAGGCTGCGGTGTGTCGGGGAGACCTCGGCCTGCAGATTAGAAGCACAGAGAGCAGTGTTTGCACCCTGCAGCTTTAATACCCTCCACACACACACACACACACACACACACACACAATCAGTGCCCTCCACTACAGGTCAGGTAAGATGAAGGTGCCGATGCAGTCGATCCTGTTACACTTTGTGGCATATATATGAGCACCATATCTTTCATGATGTGCAACGTGACGACATCTGTGTTGTTTTTCCACCAGGACCCGGTCTCATCATACG